AAAAGGACATATATAATACAATAGAATGTTGGAGACAGAGGCAGAAACAGGGACGGTGGGGACATAAAGAGGCCTGGAAATACAATTATATGAAAATTACTCTTACATTAGAAGAGAACCAAACTTTTCCTGGATCTTACAGTCTAGTTCATAGTATGCTTCAAGATCACCTAGTCTTAACTGATATCCTGCTGTATACTCAGCACTTTTGAATAACCTGTCTTTAACGAGCACCAAACCCTGATAGTATTACCGATGGTATGTTGTGTTTGCAGACAGGAGCCTAGCAAAGCTGTCCCCTGTTCTACCAGCAGATGACTAAGACATATGCAGATACTTATAGCCAACCATTGGACTGAGGTTAGAGTCCTCTATGGAAGGATTAGAGGAAGGATTGAATGAGCTAATTGGATAGCAATAGGAATACCAACAGTATTAATTAACACAGACCCCTGGGAGCCCCCAGAGACAAAGCAACCAACCAAAGAGCATATACAGCCTGGTGTGAGGTCCCAGGCACATATGTAGCAGAGTACTGCCTTGTCTAGCCTCAGTGGGAGAGGATGTACCTAATCCTGTAGAGATTAGATGCTCTTAGGAAAGGGCATGATGGGGACGTGTCAGTAGCCATCATAGGACAAGCTAATTACTAGCAGGTGACCATCCTGAAATGGTTTGCCTTGGATTATTTTATAATGTGCAACAAGTAAATTCCTATTCATCAAGGCTGTAAGAAATTTATTTTAGGAAAGATTCCTGCTATTAATATGCTTTTCCTATTATTATTATTAAACAAATATAGCAATCACTAAGCAATAGCACACCCCTTTGGAGCAGATCTCTGGAGATCCACAAAGATGTACTGTCTTGTAGTGATGCTATATAGACAAGTAGATGACTTCTTAAGTCTTAATGATGATCTTATAAGAATTCCTAAAATTATATCAATGATTATTAAGCTCTTTTATAGTGGAACTACTATTAGGTCTCTTTCTGATAGTCAAAATTACAATGAGAACTCTATCAGTCTCCCAAGAGTCCTCAGCTTATTGCTTTCAGATAGTAACAAGACTTTCTCCTACTCAGAGCACATTCCAAGAGGTTGTAAAACAATTAACCAAAGGTCACTAATTGGAAACTAAGGATTTATTATAGGTGCTTGGACAGAAGATAAAATATTGCCTGCATTTATCTATACAAAACTTCACTAATTTCTTAGTTATAGTTTTAAACCTTCAGTGAACCTGTGGAGCTAGACAGGTGATGGATGTTTAGCCAGATACTCCTATTGGATATGCGTGTAAACATTCTCTGTTGTAAACTTATATATATATATATATATATATATATATATATATATATATATATACTTTATTTATTTTTTCTCAAATTGTAATTCATTCACACAGGGGTTATAAACACAGAAAGGCAGGATGTGGGGAAGGAGATGACACTGGAGTGTGGGTGTTCAGCGGGAATACAGATATCTTTCAGAACCAGGTATCGGCTGAGTGAAGGTTCAGGGGACAGGTCACTATGACTCTGCCTATGACTCACCTGTCCTTATCTAAGTTGGTATTGTCTGCCAAGGCTACCTATTTACAAGGTCTATGACTACTAAGGCTTGTAAATTTCCACAAAAACTCCCTGTTTACAATAGCTTATAGCCATCTGTTTCATTGTTTTTCCACTGAGACCCAAGACTTGGTTGTAAACTTCTGTTTCAATTTATGATTTGATTTTTTGTGTGAACTTGTAATGAACTTTGTAACATGTAATCATGTACTCTGAAAGATGTATAAGTACTGAAGACAAAGACAAAGAGTAGTAGTGGTTGTAGTTAGTTCTTCCCTTCCTTTTCTTTTCCCCGCCTAGAATTCTTTCCCTTAGAACTTTTCCTTTATTAGAATTTTTTCTTTTTCCCCACTTAGGACCTTTCCACTTTTCCTCTTAGATAGCTTTCATGGGAAGCTTTTTATTCATAGTAATAAACTCTATAATAACTTCTCTAAGTGTTTTTTCTTCCTGCAACCTCAGAGTAGCAGGCATAAATTAGAGCCCAGAAGTTACTGCTGAGATAGTACAAAGGCTATTTACTTAGTCCTTTTGGGGCTGAGGTGCTAAGTGCTAGAAACTGTAGTTTCTGGCCTCAGGATCACAGAAGGCAGGTGAACTACAGTAGCATAGTAACATAGATAAGTAAACTTTTATTATACAGTAACCCTAAATATCTCATAAGACCATGTCTTACCCCTCCCCCCACCAATGATCTTCCCCCTCTGCTGCCTCAAGAAGAACAAAGAAGAAGGAGAAGGAGGAGAAGGAGAAGGAGAAGGCGAAGGAGAAAGAGAAGGAGGAGAAGAGGAAGAGGAAGAGGAAGAGGAAGAGGAAGAAGAAGAAGAAGAAGAAGAAGAAGAAGAAAGAAGGAGGAGGAGGAGGAGGAGGAGGAGGAGGAGGAGGAGGAGGAGGAGAAGAAGAAGAAGAAGAAGAGGAAGAGGAAGAGGAAGAGGAAGAGGAAGAGGAAGAGGAAGA